GTCAAACCTCCATCATCCGTGGTCATGTCACACAACACTTGAATTGGTTTGCCGCCATCTGGATTAATCGTGTACACTTCACTGGAATTGAAGCCATCTTTAAGGAGCTGCTGGCAGCTTTGTGCTTCTGCCGTATGCGCAACAGAAATAAATCGTAAGATTGATTACACTTCTTTGATAAAGCATTGCGAGGAGACCTGATGCGGTAACTCAGGATCTTTATTGTTTACAAGATTTGTTGTTAGATGATTATGAACACAGCAGTGGCTTACCTTGAAGCTCACCAGTCGGATTCTCTGTTCCCATAGGAGACCCAGACTTTTGTATTGTCTTGCGCTCTTGAAAAAGCGAGGGACAACTTTCGTTATTTCGCAACTCGAACTCAAAATTCATTTCCTTTCGTCTTAATAAAAATGATATCCTCATTCGGTGTATCCAAAAATACTAAGAACGATCGACTAGGAAGTTTGACCAAGTGATAACAATGTGAAAAATTCTACTTTAAGGAAGCCTCCAGTCGCAGATCAAGTTAACTTTGAAGTGAGCAAAGCACCTCGTATTAAGAGGATTCTATTCCAAACATGCATTCTATCAGTAGAGAGTCGAAAATTAGCGAAAGCGCCAGCCACAATACTTACCGCATGGTTTTCCAGTATATCCAGATGCATAACGACATTTGCATTCTGCAGTGTTGTCTTTATAATTGGGAACACAGATTTCGTTTTTTGCACAAAGGGAAGAATTGACCTCACAATCGCTCTGTTGAAACAAAAACACCTGATTACTTTTTCTGCAACAAAGGTATCCTATAGGTGTATTGTTTGATGGAATTTTAAAACTGCAGCTGTTTCATTTTTCAGATTGAATTGTAAGCTTCTAGACTGGCCAACACAAAGATTCCTGAAAGGACTAACACTCAGTGTTTTAAATTAACTGAGGGGATTGTAACGCCTTTGCTATGATATCTGCAAATGGTTGGACGTTCTTGTTTTCTCGCGCAAGGACGATCGAGTATCACCAAATTGTTCTGAATTCTATATACCAGTGAGCTGAAAAGAAACTGGATATAACGTCTCTGTTGCTGAAAGGGGAAGAAGTAGTATCAGAAAAACAAAAGTGGCTCAAATTGTTGAAAAGCACGTAAATAACCTTGACAAAAGGATACATAACGCAATTATTTTTTCCAAAGTAAATCTAAATCAACTTGGTAAACTTATGCTTTCGTTGTGCCCCTCCTTGGTTTGTTTCGAATATCACCGACAGTGCATGTACACCTGGGAATGAGTTGATTATAAAAACTCAAGACTATTATTTTGATTGTTAGGATTCACCACGAGGTTTCTATGGATGCAGTTCCGTTAATAAGGAAGGACCCCTATTAATTAATAATTTTCTTTAGTTGCCAACAAGTTCGCTGATGAACTATTCTCAGAGTCAAATACAGACAATTGAGAGATATGTATTCTCAACTGATCAGTAAAAAAATAACAGAGGGCATTTTCTACATGAGCTTTGTAAAAGATATATTTTTCTTTAGAAAAGTTAACGTTACAATCACAATAGCAAATATATTATACCTTTAAAACTTTAATGAACTCATAGAAAAACAATCTTTTTGTAATACGCTTGCTCAAGAAAAACATCCATATGGACTGTTTCCAAAGAAAAAAGGAAATTCTACCGCAATTTAAATAATTGAAAAGTTTTTTGTGTACTGCAGATGTTTACCTCTCACGTAATTAGAATTAAGCTAGAACTTAAATTTGCGATCAAAGAACTAAAAAGCAACTCTTCAAGGAGTTTTGTTCCATCTTTGATATTCTCTTTCCATTATATTCTTAGAACGAATCTTTATCTTCCCATTTTACCTGAGAGTATTGAGAATATATGGTTTTAGTAACACAGTTGATTACACTGTCCTTGTTTTACACATTATATAATTTTTTTTTCCCGTCACTAAGGGGCGAGGAGGTTTGAGTTTTCTTTTTTAATCCGAAGTTGTTTCAGTAGAATCCTGAAAGACTCAAAAATTTACGCATCATTTCAGCGAACACTTTTGCAAAGTCAAGTTTATTATAAGGGAATGTAAAGCTCATGTGCTTCGTTCTAGAAAATGATATTCAGAATTTCTTACCATCACTCCTCTGTACAGAAATTCGTTGTCTTTGGTCAAATTCTTGAAGTTAGTGAAGCGATCAGAGTCGCTTAGTTGACATTTAAACTTCTTATTTGTCCTGGATCCAAAGTTGTAGGACACGCATGAACTTTCTTCCACACACTGCACTAGACATAGACCCTCTGAATCCACTTCTATTTCTCTAATAACACTTCCATTAAGACGTCGTCCCCTTATTTCTCTGGCAAAGTTAAGCGCCCTGAAGACAGGTGTTATCATTCGAGGGTCTCCGCATGTAAAAGCAATTGCTAAGGACGCTAAAAGTGGTTTAATCAGATACATGTTTCGGAGTCTCTTACTTGGATGCCTCGGAATCTCTCAGTGGTTGATGTTTATAGCAGTTTTTAGTTTTCAACTTCGCATTCTTAATTATTAATCGTTAATTTGTTGTAATTTCAATTGAGGGAAAAGAAAACAATCAATACACAAATTACGTTATTGTAAAGAAGGAGAGTGGAGGTAAATCAAAGGTGTTCCTAAGTCATGCGTCGTTGCCAGTTCCCGATAAAATGTTTTGGTACTTGCAATTGTACATTTAAGTTTGGGGTCAGATTTTTATTGAACTGGACGCACACACCTGAAGGAAACGTTGATTTAATTTTGGTGTTTTGACAGAGTTCCAGACCCTCGGCAAACCTCTCCCCACCCCCGTCTGTAATTGTCCTGCTTCATGCAGTGCAGATAACTGGGGCGCGCTCGCAGGCCATTACTTTAATCCTCTCGTAGACTTTTCGTTGCCTCCAATGACATCGTCTTCCTCAAAGAAAATTTTGGAACAAAGTCAGTGCTAACAATTTACTTAATTCTCTTCCTCGGGATCCGCATATTTTGGTTTCCCCGACCAGGTCTAATTAATGTCGCTTACTCATCTCGACAGCCGATAATGCAAAATGAGACAAACGAAAGCAGCGTAAACAGCTCTCTAGGCGTGCAATCCTCTTAAATTCCTCTGACTGCCCCTACCCCCCACCCTCCGGCGATAAATAATGGCGGAGTGCCTAAGTGGCAAATAAATTTCGGGTGGCAATTACCGACAAACATTTTTTTTAGCATTCGAGTTTACTTATTATAATAACAGGAAAGAGACTAAAGCCAAATAAAGAATTCATTTCCAGGGAGGGCTGACGAGGAGGATGGCGAAGCTGATTTCCGCTCCAATTGTAAAGAAACGTCCCAAAGTTGTTGGCTTAAAAAGATACACAACAGATCCAGGAATATTTGACTGCTTGGTTTGAAACTTTGATTCACAAAACACAGAGTTTAGTCTAAACTGAAGCCTGAATAAGTTAACACACATTTCGTCCATGTTCATTGTCTCTCTAGATAAAAGCTAGCACAACCTTGTTGCTGGGGACTTGTGTGTGAGCTTAAGCCGATCAATAACTTGAAACTTTCTTTAAAAATCTAATTCGGTAACACACACTAAGTGAATTAAATAAAATGAATAAATCATGAATATTGGTCGCCGGAGAAGAACGATTACGAAATATAACTAAGTAACTTGAAGCCTACTAGGGAAGGATGCGAACGGGACACCGAAACCATCGTCGGCGCACACCCAAGGGAATGACAACTACAGCTTATGCCATATATCTGCTTTGCTAAATCTATCAGTCGGTCAAGATTGATCCACTAAAGCTATGAGAAAAAGATCGTTTCAATTATGTCGCCATACGTAAAATCATGCATTTGTCATCCTGCGAAACTGTCTTATTCCTTGGTTTTTATTTTCATCTCAGTGCGTTTTAGTGAATAGTAATAACCCCTGAATGTGTTCCAGTTGACGCCATTAGCATAAGAGGCATGTCGGCCATTGAGGTACAATCCGTTCAGATTGGAAGCATGACAGTTACTGTACCACCACGCCCCCTTGAAGAGTTGGGAACAGCTGGCACTATATAGATCACTATCTTGATCTTTCGTGGAAAACTGCATTTGGCTGAAATAAAAATAAAACTGACGTTGCCATGTTTACTTCTGCACAGCCATTGTAGAGATAAATGTTCTCATTAAACTTAGAAAACCAATTCTGCCCAAAGGAATTACGTTGACAAATTGCCTTACAGAAAAACTGAGAGACACCAGAGAGATAGAGATGAAGAACTAAATTTGTAATACAATATCATAGAGAAGAATAGAATCGATTAGTTAGTCGTAAAAAGATCAACCGGAAAAATCTTTTAACAATGGAAATATATGCCGTTCAGTTTCTTTCCGGTATCAGTTCTCTAAGGCTACAAATGCTAATCATAACGCGCCCCTCTTCCGGCTGGTTATAGATACTCTCTCTGTCAACACGAAAACATTTCTTACTTTTGTGGTGCCATAGAGTCCCCAGCCGTTCCACTGTATCCTCCAGTTAAAAGCCTGTACTTATCTGCCTCGCCTGCCACCTTAAAAGTCGTGTACTCAGCGTACTTAATGTTCTCATCAAAGTCTTCCAGGTCAACTCTCAACATGACGCCATCTGCGGCTGTCAAACGGTGAAGATTGTCGTTTCCGAGCCAGAATTCGCTTTTCAGATTTCCAAACCCTCTTATGTAGGA